AATTAACATGTGACGACTATTGATACAAGTAACTTGGCATAACGTCCGGCCAAGTTGAAGCAATTTTAAGCCTTTTTCTTCAAGTGTGTTGATCCAAGTTTTAAACCAATTTTATTAGGCTTTGCCATTCTTTAGTCCATTTGTCCACGTCCCTCTTGTCATAGTATGAACTCAAAGAGGGAGGTTGTAACGCTTCAAGAATTATTAAAATACTATGAATCAACATGTGACGACTCTTGACACAAGTAACTTGGTATAATGTCCAGCCAAGTTGAAGCAATTTTAAGCCTTTTTCTTCAAGTGTGTTGATCCAAGTTTTAAACCAATTTTATTAGGCCTTGCCATTCTTTAGTCCATTTGTCCATAGTGATGTTTAAAGTCCTCTAAACAAGAAGAAATGTCAAACAAGAGGTTCTTCTAAAGCATGAGAGAAAGACCACACCGTTGGTAATGAATCTTTGAAAAGATTAAACCATTAAGTAGGAACCTTTCTTACATGATTCAAATAACCTCAATTGGTTGAAATCGTTCTCAAGTATAAAAAAGATGAATGATGGATTGATGGATTGATTATTAAACTTAGACTCCAAACATGAGAATGAACGAAGAAAGCATAACAAGTAATACGTATGCCAACTTATGAGACCACAAGTATACTAAACAAGGCATGAACCAATTAAAAAGGCTTAGACAACCTCAAAACATCCCTTAATATATGGAAAACAAAGGTAGGTCATGCATGAAAAGAGCTTGAAAAGCTAGACAATAAAGAAGATAATTAAGGCTAGTAAACAAGGATAAGGAGGGGTGGCTAACCCTTCACTTTTGAAGCTTCAAAACATGATTTTAGCCTTTATAAACCTCTGAAAATCAATGTAAATATCAAAGAAAAAAAGTGGAAAAGAGAAAGTTTGAGTTATAAGTAAAGGTATAGAAAGAGTAAGCTCTCTCTACCCTTTTGGTAACTCTTCAAACCCAATTCCAAACACTTCAAATGAGCTCAAAACAACTCAAAACAGCAAGAACTATGACGTAAGTGATAGAAAATGAAGGCAAGAGAGAAGAATACAAGCTTATACCTTTTAAGGTGTAAGCTTATAGTTGATGCTTCAAACTTGGTTTCAATGCACTCTCAAGCTTTAATTATACTTCTCCAAGATCAACCAAGACTCAAGGATGATCAAACAAGGTTGTGTATGGAGGATAGAGATGGTATAGACAAGCTAGGTTAGGTCAAAGCTTGCTTGCAATGGAAGAATGAGGGGACAAGAGTTCTCGAGGTGTATATATGACTTCTAGAATTTTGTTCAACCCTCAAACACAATCCCAAAGCTTCGTTTTTATAGAATTCGAGCTCAAAAGGTGATAAATATCTTCTAAAATGGACAGCTGGCGGCCTCCTACCCAAAACAGTGTTTATCGCCATCGAGGGCCGGCTGGCTATCACCGATGCACGGCCGGGCCTTGATGGTCTTCCCTATTTTTTTGGTTCAAACTCAGCTCAAGGTGGGAAAAAGTCGAAAAATGAAACTCATGGGTTCAAACAAGGTAAATGTTGAATATTTGAGGTTATTTCGGAAGCCTGATTGATTCCGAATCGCTGCGAATTCACAATTGAACTTTCATCATTGAATGTATTAAACCAAGCACCTAAGTCTTGCGGGCGGTCAAAAATAGGGTGTCTACAACGTTTAATTAAATACCACATAAATATTTATAGCTATATATAATTATGGTTGTATGTGATAATATATTATTAGTGATAATATATTAAAAATAAAAAATATAATAAATAAATAAATAATAATAACAATAATAATGAAATAAATATAGGGAATAATAATAATAATAATAATAATAATAATAATAATAATAATAATAATAAGCAGGTAGTTATCCAAACAAATTTGTGAACTAATTATGAGGGAAATGTGACATCTGCAAGTTAAGACACCTGTACAGAATATATATGATTTGGATTTTAGTCATCATTATGAGATACGGGCCTTGTGTACATAAGGCAACCAAGGCAACAAATTGAAGGCACCAAAAAAAAATGAAGGAAAATTCAGAGAGATACTGCGTCGAAGAGGGTCTCGAAAAGATAGGAAAAATTGAAAGGAAATAATAAGACTATCTTAAGATGAATTATATTATACCTTGAGTCACCATAATATATTTTACATATGTTTTGACTTATCATAAATTATTTTATACAAGTTTATGTTTTATAAATTATATTAATATTCCAATTACGTGGATTAATTTCTGAACTCTATTTGTTTAAAATGAAACCCATGAATATATTTGTTTAAATTTTAGAAGGTATTTGACTATGACCTTATAAACAATTATATTTTGTAAGTATCACTATGGGAGTCCCACGCCTTGGGGACTTAAATAACCATTGGCCTCTGTTTGGCTACTTTGTGGTCCTCTGTTTGTTATGGATCCATTGACCTCTATTATGATTGTTACTCTAGTGACCTCTGTTCTGTTTTGTTTTGTACCGTGGTTATGGTTATTTAATTACATAATTTATATGTTTCGGTTTCTGTCACTTTAAATCATTCGTTTATTCAAATTAAGTTTTGTTACTATTTTAGCTTAAACAACTATCTATGGTTATTTTGTATTTCCTATACCCTTTGGCATAATATTTCTCACTCTACTATATACTTGTAGCTGTTATCCTTTCAAGTGACGAGATGTAAGAGAGACCTATAATCTCACGTGGTGGAACCCGCACGAGAATTTGGTGTTGAACCATTATTTTGTTTTTCTTTTATTTATTTTATTTTTGCTCCCTTTTGTTTTACTCAGGGCCGGTCACTGAATAATAAAATAATAAAAACTCTATAGATGTATTTTCTCTTATTGAAATAGTAAAATGAAGTAAATTTTCTATTTAATTATTTTTTTTTCCATTTGCCTCCGCCTGCGCCATTTAATTTGCCACGATTAGAATGAAGTGGTGAGTTACGATTCCAACCCTAAGACCCTAGGATTGGGTCGTGACACACATTCTCTCTCTCTCACGATCTTAAACTCTCTCTCCGTAACCATCGCCATCGCGATCTGAAACCCTAACCAGACCGGCAAAACCCTTTCGTCGCCATCGCGTTGAAGGGCAAACCCTTCTGTCACCTAGCGTCGTGATCTGGTCAGAGAACTACCACCATCGCATCAACAAACCAGAGCTCTATCTCTCTTTCTCTATATCTTCGCGATCTAGTCGGAGAACCAGACTGGGGTTTTGGTAGACTGTAGGGTCTAGGGTTTCGAGAGAAAAAGAAAGAGAAGGGGGCTAGGGTTTTGGTAGAACGGTGACGATGACGATCGACGGCTTGTGCATCTCTAGCATTGTTTCAATGGTGGTTAGGTCATTGACGGCGCTCCCTCTGTCGTTCCAAATTGATGGCGCTCCATCCTTGTACCCAACATTAATATTAAAAAAATATATATTAACAATTCTTATATTAATTGATACTAATTATATTAACTTTCAGTAATGAAATAATTTGATACTAATTGATACTAATTGATAAACAAAAATCACAATTAATAATAATAATAAAAAAGAAATACAGATGTAAATAATTAAAATGAATACATACAAAATAATATGTAATAAAATCACAACATTAATATAAATTAGAACATGAATATTAATTGGTATTAATTTTAATGAATTAATAAATTAAACAAAATTAACAAAGAAAGAGGAGAAGAAAAAAAAATGTATTATAAATGAAATCACAAATTTTATATCTTATAAGGGCAAAAATGAAATTAAACAGCAAAAAACTATTTTATAGTTTATTCAACCAAACACTACTGTACTGATTAAATCTATAATCCCACAGCTATACCAAACAGGTTAACAACTTATATTTAAAGTTATAATCTATAATCTGTTAAGTCATAATCTATAATTACCTTCCCATAGCTACACCAAACGGGGCCAATCTAATTAACACTCATCTCTTTTATATATTATTTGTATTGAGCCTATAATCTAATTAAGACACATCTCTTTTATATATTATTTGTAACTCATACATGCTTAAAAGTTTAAAGGTGAAACTAAATTTCAGAGGGGTATAACATGCTATAATACTAATGCAACCAATCCAACCATGATCTGTCAAATCTGTGGCAATTCTGAGGCCAACCAATAGCTTAATCACATACGTGCTTGAAATTGAGACTGGACTTGATGCTACTTGAGTTACTCTATTATGAGTTAAGGCTTGAGCTGCGGCCTTAGCTTGAGTTTATGGCATTGCCTAAGACTGTAACTTAGTATTCGATGTGGGACTTTATCTTCACACAACCAAATATTAGGCGTCTCCTTACTCCTCTTGGATTTTGATCTATTATCTGCAAATTCATTATAGACAATATACACTCCCCATTAATCTTGATTATGGAACTCCAACATTGAGTTTATGCTCGAGGAGAGTCCACCCATAGATCGTTAGTCATTGACTCTGATACCAGTTCCAACAAGGAGAAACTCCAGAGTCTACAAACTCCACATCAAGATCCAACATACATTATTTATAACTCATACCCACTAAAAAGCTCAAGCTTATAAGTAGAGAGAAACTTGTTTGGGGTGTGCTATACAAGCATTTTTTTTTTTTGGCCACATTGCCTTTTTACTTTTTTGTACATTTTTTTTTATAAAAAGTCAAAAAATGTATTCATTTAGATCATTTCAATTGACCGTGACATATGTTCCAACATTTACTAGTTCTATGATCAATATTTTTAAACACCCATAATACGATTAAGTCAAGATTTATATTTTTATGATGCCTTTTCACTAGATATTAATAACGAAATTACATATTTTGTTTAGTTACACATTAAAAAAGAATCCAAGTAATTTATTTCCAGTTATATTTTATTTTAATGACAAATTAAAGCTTCAATATAGCATTAAGCACTTCTATAAGATTTTTAAGAGCAAAAATGTTGTTTAAAAAAAAAAAAACATATTTGATAAATAATTTGTTATTATGTAGGGTAAATAGAGGTGTTGTTGTGTTGTCTTTGAATGAAGAAAGGGTGGGCTTTACTCAAAACCTTCCGCAGAAGCTTCCTCACTGTGCAGCGCCCAACTACTCCCTTCGTACTCTCTCTCTCTCTCTCTCTCTCTCTATATATATACGTATGTATATCTATAAGCTGTCAGCTTCTTCTGTATATGCAATTTTTGCTAAGTTTTACAGTCACAGATGGACCCATCGGACCGTTACCGCTTCGAGCCGAACTTGCGATGGAACCCTCAGGTCGAAGAATACTTCATCAAAGCATACGGAGCTGACCATTTCGCTCGCATTTCCAAATCCCTAACGTGTGCTCAAACCTTCTCTCATCGCATCTCATATTTTGTTCTGTTTTTAAACTGTGAATTCACACCTACATTCATTTGGGTTGCTTTTTGTATTTTTGTTTTACTTAAGCTTTAAGCATTTTACTACTAAGCTGAAGTTTAAATTGTAAAATTGGAAATGGAATTGGAGCTATTTTAGTTCAAAATTTGTATTAAGATAGCATCGAATGCCAAATTGAAGTAATGGGTTGTGATCCAACATATAAAAGGGCGTGCTTGGAATTGGGTTCTGAATTTTTGGGATTGAAGGAATTGGGGTTATGCGGATTCAGTATATTGCTCTTTGGTGTAACTTTTGAAATTCAGCTGGAATTAGTTTATAGATTTCAAAAACATTGTTTAGATGTCTAAATAAATCTTTTAGTATTGAATTGGTTTTGGTAATAGTTTACCCACTTCGACATTTTGAAGCTGGGTAAAATAATCCACCCTTTGGGTGTTTTGGGTTGTATACTTTATTATACTTGTCAATATTTTGAGATTTGAGCTATAACAGTTTGATTTGAGCTATAACAGTTTGTACCTGTACTCCAGCTCAACAAATATATTACACATTTTTTTAGTTACTAAATATCTACTATATTATATGATTAAGCATATCTATTACCCATTGGGCAGCACAAACATCAAGTGTTGATGTAAATATTTCTCTTTTATATCATTAAGTTCGTCCATGTTTAGACCCATGTTGTAACAGTTTGTACCTGTTAAATGCTTAATAGTCATGCTATTTTCCTTTTCTTTTACAGGCAACTTTAGTCACTATAATCGTAATTTCTTTCCTTTTTGTTTTCTGATATTTGAACATGATGACTTTTTGGATATATAATTTAACAAAATTTATCCTTTTTCAGTAGTTGTATATTCAAATATACATATTTAAAATATTTTTTCACTTTTTTGTGCATACATGTATTGCTCAGGCGTCCATCTTGTTACTCATGTATTCGTGTGAATACACTCAAGTCAACAAGTGATGCTGTTATTGAAAAGCTATCAGAAATTCTGCAGGAAACGGGGCAACAAAGTGCTATTGATGACATGAACCAAAGTGATGCCAATGCTGGATATATTATGGGCCAGGAGCATAAGTTTTTTGTTAAAGAATCTAATACTTCCCCATGTGATTCTAACCAGGCGGCTTTGGCTGTCTCTGAAAGTACACAAACTGGTCTTGTTTCAAAATGTCAATTACCTGGGCTAGACTATGTTTTGTTTGTCAAAGGTTCAGGACCACACAATATCAGTTACCCTCATGCACAAGACAAACCTCCAAAGGAGATAATTGTTAGCCGTAAATGCGCTGAGGCTGTACTTCGCGGTGCTCAGGTAAGAAGTGTCTAGTAGTGCCTACATATCAACTATACCTGTTACTTCAAGTCTCTTTGTCAAGTACTTTTGAATGTTCCAATTTGTGTTATAAACATCCTAGCATTTTATTTTTTTTGATGATGTTCTTTATTTTTAATATTTATAGTCTTCAGTCTTTTAATCTTGCAATCCATTTGCTAGAAGTATGTGGGCTAGTGGACTATTCTACCTTAATTTTCTACCCTTAGTTATTATCAACTCTTCCCCCCCTTTTATATATATATATATATATTCTTAGATTCCTTGCCTACTGTGCGTGTTTCATTGAATATAATATTTCTTTCTCATGCAAAAGGATTTATTGCAGGCAAGGCCAGTGTTCAACAAAAAAATTCAAAACTATTGTCTAGGAAAGAAGTTGAGGTTTCAGTGTAAAGTGATACGATTATTTTGTGCGGCTCACTCTTACAGATGAGAAAGTCATTCAGTTTCATATTTGACCACTAGTATTACCTGTAATTATTTATTATTTCCTTTGTTTATTTCTACTATAAGTATTCGTACTGAGGCAATACAACAATATTGTGTATATTTCTCACTTACAGATGAAAAAATCATTTAGTTTCATATTTTACCACTAGTATTTCCTGTAATTATTTATTATTTCTTTTGTTTATTTCTTGTATAAGTTTATGTATATATTTCTTAGGTTTGTAGGGATTGCGGTACTTAATTTTGTCTTTTGGCAATAAAACAATATTGTGTATTCTCAACATGAACATCAACAACCCCCTCCCCCCATGAACCTGACAAATTGTGACGACTTGGTACTCTTTCTTCTGTTTGCTTATGATAGTTCATGTGTAGGTATATGTTCCTGGTGTATTGGCTTGCAGTGCTCACGTTGAGAAAGGGGATGCAGTTGCAGTATCAGTTGCTGTGGAGCAGCCTGGACAGGATGGTGGATGGGGCGTTGGTATGACACGTGGAACTATTCTACAGGGATTGCAGACAGGCAAGTCAGTTTCTGCAGTTATTTACTGAGTACACTGAATGACCTTCAGCGTGAACTGTTTAATTGTTTGTTCTTTGGACCTTGATTGTTGGGATCTGAAACTTTAACCATGAAAATGACCATCGAAGTAACAGTTGGTGAAATTCATTGGGTTATTTACATTAGATGTCAGTGCACTGTCCTTAAAAATGGAGGTTGTGATAAATATATTATATGCTCTTTGTTTTTGGGGGCAGCATGAGATCATAAAGCAAACTATAGCTGCCAGAAATTTGCTTCCCATAATTTTATTTATTTATTACTCTCTTGAAGCCTTTTGTACAATCATAATTTTTCTTTAGTATTTGGAAAAAAGTTGACTCTTCTTTATACGGAACAATTTTCTGCTTTTCTACACAGTTGATCAATAAGCTTTTAGTAAACCTTGCAATACTGCAAATAGATAAACTAGAAAGAGAAAGAAGAAAAAAAGCTGCTGCCTCATGTTGGCGCTGCCAATGTAAGGTGACAGGAGGGGTGTATTGGGTGCAGACCATGCCTTCTACATTATTTTTATGACGTGGCCAACCTTAAGCTCAAATCCACATGGCCACATTCGCATGCTTGGAGTGCACCTAGCAATGATAAAAGCTCAGGACCGAGAATGCATTTTTTGCTGCATACAAGCAAGTTTTGGTTATAATTTGAAAGAGAATGGAGGAGATGGAAACTTGAGATTAGCAAGGAACAAGGTTGTTGCATCTTGATAGATTATCGGAACGGTTCCATCTTCTTTTTCATCTTCTTCATTGCTGTACCATCTTCTAACTTTTTTTTTTTCTTTTTTTTCTCTTTATTCATTTTCTTTAAAAAGCCGTTCGGATCCATTATGGAAATGAATCCTACTTTGAATCGTTTAAATGCTAGGTGGTTACCCTCAAGTAACACGTTGCGTTTGCCTCCGGGTGTTTCGAAAAGTGAGAAAGGAACGCCGCATCGACGCTTGGGTGCGGTGAAAAATGGGCAAAGGTTTCTGCGTTTTTCTGGACGAGAGCGGGTAATGAAGCTAGTCCAAGACTGCAGGGTTAGGATAGCCACTTGGAATATAGGAACCTTAACTGGTAAGACGATAGAATTGGTAGATGTTATGATTAAGAGGAGAGTTAGTATAGCTTGTGTACAAGAAACTAAGTGGACGGGTGAGAAAGCGGTAGTTGGGACTTGGAAGATGATGCTAACACTATGTGGAACTCAATGGCCAATTGTATGAGGAGAATTTCAAGGGAAGTGCTTGGAGAGTTGAAAGGGACGGGACTCAGTGCTAGGGAAACTTGGTGGTGGAAGTCAAGGGAAGTCTTTGGGGAGTAAAATGAAAGGGATCCAATTCTAATGAAACTTGGTGGTGGAGGGATGAGGTTCAAGTGGTAGTAAGTGCATCAAGAGTGTTTTAAAAAGTGGCAGAAGGATAGAACTGAGGAAAACCTTAAGAGTTATAGATTGGCTAATAAGGAGGTCAAAAAAGTAGTGAGAGAGGCTAAGTTGAAAGCTTATGATGACCTATACACTAGACTAGATAGTAAAGAAGGAGAGAAGAGAGTATACAAACTTGCTAAGATACGGGAGAGGAAAACAAGAGATTTTAATCAAGTTAAGTGCATCAAGAGTGAGGATTCTAAGGTATTGGTGAAGGATGAAGAGATTAAGGAAAGATGGAAGAACTATTTTGAGAAATTATTAAATGAGGAAAATGGAGGTATGACAATAGGAGAAGAAATGGTTAGTAATTTTGAAAGTTTGTAAATTTTTGGAACAACTTCTTGCATTTTTTCGAATTTTGCTAAATCTTCGTCGGTAAAAGTTTTTTCTTCTCCGATTACATCTCCAAGTTGAATTGCCTGTAATTCTACTTGATATATACTGTCTGCTTCTGGAGATATTTCTTGACTATTATTAGTCATCATGAAGATTAGTTCTTCATCTGAACTTTCTTCATCACTAGAAATTTCGTATAAGATTTCTTCTTCATCGGAAATTTCTTCGCCATATATTATTTCAAAATCTTGTTCTTCAAGAACTTTGATCATTTTCTTTGTACTTTTCTCCCTTTTTGGGTATTCTGGTGCATAGTGACCTTCTTCGTTACAAATGTAACATTTACAAGTTTTCTTTTTTGAAACACTTGTTGGTTTCTTTTTTCAAATATATTTTTTCTTTTTTGAAAAAGTTTTGTTCTTTTTCCAAGATTTCCATTTATATTTTTGCGTTTTTTGAAAAATTCTTTTCGTTTAGGAAATGTATTACAACCAATTTTTCAATTTTCTTTTAAAATTTACTTAGAAAATATGAGGAAGAAGAACTCCGAAAATATGAGGAAGAAGGAATATATTTCTGTTATATTCAAAACTTCTTATTTTACAAGACCAAATGACACTCCTTATATAGGAGATATTACAAACATCATTATAACCCATTATATGCCACTTACATATTATATATTACCACTATCTACCACTATCATATTATATACATGTCACTATCTACCACCAATACCACTATCATAATTAATACAAATTTCCAGCAAATTTTATCACAAACATTTTTAACCGTGTTGTGAGTTGGAAATTTGATTTTTTATTTGTTTTTTCGCCTTTGCTTCTAGACACCGATCTGCTATCAGTCTTAGAACATAATTAATGCGAAAACCAAGATTATCATATTCTTCCTTTCTTATTTTTTTTGAGAAAATCAAGATATGTTTTAATACATAACTCATCCCATGGATTAGGGAGCTTATGGAAAAATTGATCTAACCAGGGTTGATTTGCTGGTGGATCAATAAGATAATAATATTTTTTAAAAGTTTGAACATAGTCTTCAAAAAGATAAATATTACATAGTTCTAATTTAGTTAAAATATAATTTGCATCAGCTTGCAAATTGGTGTCGCCTGCAAAACCACATAAATTTTTTTTTATGATTTTGCAAACTCAGCTAAAATTGTGTCAAGTGTGAGAAAATTTGTCAACAATGCCGTTTTTTGACTTTTTTCAATTTTAGATTTTTCCCACTGTCTTAACTATTGCAACACATCTCCCTGGAGAGTTGCTGCAATATAATCAAGGAATTTTTCTTTTGACCAACTATTTTTATAATTGGTAATAATGATGGACAAGGATTGTACCCAATCATCAATTGCTTGTTCCTGATCCTTAAATGGAACATGAGACAAGTCTAAATAAGTACCATTTTGAGCTATTAGATACTTATGATTATTATCTTTTCTAGATATTACTGGCTCAGGTGTAGGATTGGAGGTACTTCTAGTGTTAGTATCATTTTTAACTTCATTTGTCTGAATAAAGTCAAACTTTTCTTCATTTCCCAATGTGCCAAATAATTCGGGATCAATTGGCTCTTTTGCCTTTCTTTTCCCTTTATTTATTTATGGTGAAATATCTTGATCTAATGTTTCTTCAGATGAGGATGATTGACTGTCATCATCATTGGTTGACATATTAATATCATAATTATAAGTGTTGTAAAAGGGTTTCATATTCTAGATAAGTTTCTCGTATCTGATCTAGTAGCCTATTTTTTTCAACAATACCAAAATCTGGGTCTTTATATAATTTTCTCCAATAATCCAATATTTCAACAATATTTTTATATTCAGTCCTATTATAGGTATTGGTTTGAAGTACTATAATATCTTCTGTACCATAAAATAGCCTAGGAATATAATTATCTCTTGGACTATTCATTCCATCATTGTTTATGAAGGATATAGTTTCTAATTTTGTCACCAAATAGTTTATTTGGTTTTTTGCTTCTTTATTTAAGTCAATATTTATTATAGAACCCAAATTGTCTATTTTAGATTCTATAGACTCAACTTTGGTTTCTAGATAATTTTGATTTATTTTTTGATTTTTATCTAATTTAGAAAACCAAAAACACATAATATCAGTAATATTATTTAAACTAAAACACACACTATTTATATTTGCAGATTCTTTAGTAATATGCAAACTATGGTCATATTTATTATTAACAGTATTTTTTGTATTTCCAAAGCATGTTATATCTTCAGGGTTAATTGCCATTATAGATTGTTGTTAGTACCTAAGACCCTCCTAATGTATTATCTGGTGCCTAAAACCTCTCTTTATGATCTTAAAGATTTAATTATGGCTAATAGTCAAAAGATCTTAATGAGTATATGGGCTTTGACATACACTAAGCATATAGGTTTTACAACAATTATAAATGAAACAAATAATTATGAAGATACAAAATACGGGCACTCTATTATATATTTTCTCAAAGTTTTTTTATTTTTTTATAACATAAAGCACACCATACACACTTATATATATATATATATATATATCAGGAATTTAGACTTAGAGAGAAATACATACATTATACATACCTTGATCTTGCTTTCTAAAGCTCTTCATCAGGCTCTGATACCAATTACAAACACAAAAAAGAAAGGAGCTTTTTTACTATTTTTATTATGGAATTATGGAGTATGGAATTATGATGGAGAAGTTAGAGATAAAGTTGGAAGCACAAAGATAGAGAGAATTTACATTGTCCATTATGTTGGCGTAAAGGCCAATATATAGAATACAAGATGGTGAATACAAACAAAACCAAACTTAATGCATACCTAACTTGGTAAGACTTTACGGCCAAGAGTTGCAAAAATTTCTAACACCCTCGTCAAGCCTAGCCATAGGCTTTATAAAAAGTCTACATAAAAATAAATACAAAGAGACAAAAATTGTTAAAGGAAATCATTAAAACCATTGATGAATCACACTAGATTTATAAAATTTTAGAATAAAATTTTAGTGAACATCCATTAAAACTATGGCAACATAGTCCACGTTATTGTAGTTTAAAATTGAAAGACCCTAATGTTATCAATAGAGTAAGACTAATGATTTATACTAGACAAGATATAGATGAATTTGATATTCAACTCTAGGAACTTTTAGATAAAAAGTTAATCGAAGAAACTAGAAGCCCTCACTCTAGTCTAGCATTTATGGTAAGAAACCATGTTGAAATTAAAAGAGGAAAAGTCCGAATGGTAGTCAAAAAAATAATTTAGATCTTCCGTTGGAACTAGCCATGACCGCGGATGATGTAGAACATTTTCGGAATGAGCAATACAGCCAGGATTCGAATTCCTCTCCATCAGAAACTGATGAAGAATATCACAATCTCATCAACAGGATGGAAGCATAGTAGACCCCATTATCAAATACAGTTGTCTCCTGATTGACTCCAACCTTATTCAGGACACGTAGAGCAACCTGCATTATTAGGCGGAAAGTGATCAGACAAATCCTTTCAGCTACCGCTACAAGACAGAACAGATTAGCCCAATCTTTTCTGTTTCAGTCTATCCCTTTGAAAACCGGGGAGGGTAGACATTGTATATAATTATAAAAACTGTAGTACATAACAAATAATTGTAGTTTTTCCTTTAACCATTTTTGTCACTTGGTGTTTATTTTTATGTAGACCTTTTATAAAGCCTATGACTAGGCTTGATTAGGGTGTTAGAAATTTTTGCAACTCTTGGCCGTAAAGTCTTACCAAGTTAGGTATGCATTAAGTTTGGTTTTGTTTGTATTCATCATCTTGTATTCTATATATTGGCTTTTACTCCAACATAATGGATAATGTAAATTCTCTCCATCTTTGTGCTTCCAATTTTATCTCTAACTTCTCCATCATAATTCCATACTCCATAACTCCATTCTTTTCTTTTTTTGTGTTTGTAATTGGTATCAGAGCTTGTTGAAGAGCTTTAGAAAGCAAGACCAAGCTTTGTAAGTATTTTTCTCTACGTCTAAATTTGTGATATATATAAGTGTGTATGGTGTGCTTTATGTTATAAAAAAATAAAAAAACTTTGAGAAAATATATAATAGAGTGCCCGGAGATATAATATGGTGGGTATTAGAGAAGAAATGGGTGACAAAAGATTACATTGATGTGATTAGGAACACGTATGAAGGGGTGGTGACCGCTATTAGATCGTTTGCTGGAGAGACAAATGAATTTCCTATCACTGTTGGGTTACACCAAGGATCTACTTTAAGCCCTTATCTTTTTGCTTTAGTTATGGATAAGTTGACGAGAAATATTCAGGATGACGTGTCATGGTGTATGCTTTTTGCAGACGATGTTGTGCTAGTGGATGAGACTAGAGAAGGAGTTGATACAAAGTTGGAGATTTGGAGAAAAACTCTTGAATCTAAAGGTTTCCGGATAAGCAGAAATAAGACAAAGTACATAGAGTGTAAATTTAGTAACAGTAATAATGAAAGTAGAGGAGAAGTGAAGATTGAGAACCAAAAATTGCCTAAGAGTGAACATTTTCGTTATTTAGAGTCGATTATCATAGCCGCGGGGGAGATTGATGCGGATGTGGCCCATAGGATTAAGGCGGAATGGTGTAAGTGGAGAAGCGCGTCTGGGGTACTGTGCGATAAACGAATACTCATTAGACTAAAAGGTAAGTTCTATAGAATGACTATTAGACTAGCAATGTTGTATGGGACTGAGTGTTGGGCAACCAAGAAACAACATGTAGATAAGATGAGTGTGGCTGAGATGAGGATGCTAAGGTGGATGTGTGGCAAGACTAGACAAGACAGAATTATGAATGAGTGTATTCGGGAATGGGTAGGATGTAGTTTTTCCTTTAACCATTTTTGTCACTTGGTATTTATTTTTATGTAGACCTTTTATAAAGCCTATGACTAGGCTTGACTAGGGTGTTAGAAATTTTTGCAACTCTTGGTCGTAAAGTCTTACCAAGTTAGGTATGCATTAAGTTTGGTTTTGTTTGTATTTATCATCTTGTATTCTATATATTGGCTTTTACGCCAACATAATGGATAATGTAAATTCTTTCCATCTTTGTGCTTCCAACTTTATCTCTAACTTCTCTATCATAATTCCATACTCCATAACTCCATTCTTTTCTTTTTTTGTGTTTATAATTGGTATCAGAGCTTATTGAAGAGCTTTAGAAAGCAAGATCAAGCTATGTAAGTATTTTTCTCTACGTCTAAATTTGTGATATATATAAGTGTGTATGGTGTGCTTTATGTTGTAAAAAAATAAAAAAAACTTTGAGAAAACATATGATAGAGTGTCCGGAGATATAATATGGTGGGTGTTAGAGAAGAAATGGGTGACAAAAGATTACATTGATGTGATTAGGGACATGTATGAAGGGGTGGTGACCGCTATTAGATCGTCTGCTGGAGAGACAAATGAATTTCCTATCACTGTTGGGTTACACCAAGGATTTACTTTAAGCCCTTATCTTTTTGCTTTAGTTATGGATGAGTTGACGAGAAATATTTAGGATGACGTGCCATAGTGTATGCTTTTTGCAGACGATATTGTGCTAGTGGATGAGACTAGAGAAAGAGTTGATACAAAGTTGGAGATTTAGAAAAAAACTCTTGAATCTAAAGATTTCCGGATAAGCAGAAATAAGACAGAGTACATAGAGTGTAAATTTAGTAACAGTAATAATGAAAGTAGAGGAGAAGTGAAGATTGAGAATCAAAAATTGCCTAAGAGTGAACATTTTTGTTATTTAGGGTCGATTATCACAGCCGCGGGGGAGATTGGTGCGGATGTGGCCCATAGGATTAAGGCAGGATGGTGTAAGTGGAGAAGTGCGTCTGGGGTACTGTGCAATAAACGAATACTCATTAGACTAAAAGGGTAAGTTCTATAGAATAGCTATTAGACTAGCGATGTTGTATGAGACTGAGTATTGGGCAACCAAAAAACAACATGTAGATAAGATGAGTGTGGCTGAGATGAGGATGCTAAGGTGAATGTGTGGCAAGACTAGACAAGACATAATTATGAATGAGTGTATTCGGGAATGGGTAGGAGTTGCACCGATGGAAGATAAGTTGAGAGAGAATCGATTGAGATGGTTTGATCACATTCAACGGAGACCAACAGAGGCAGTAGTGAAGAGATGCGATGCTGTAACGGTAGAGGGGAGTGTTAGGGGATGGGGTAGGCCTAGATTAACATTGGCTAACGTTGTAAATAGAGATATGGATCTACTTAATTTGACTAACGAAATGGCCTTTGATAGGGTCGCGTGGAGAAGAAGGATTCATGTAGTCGACCACATTTGATGGGACTTAAGGCTTGGCTTGGTTTGGTTTGGTTTCATTTTCTTTAAAAACTTACTCTTCATAGTTGTCTTTCCATCTTCTTCACTTTGTGTTTCATCATTTTCTTTTTTTTTTTTTTTTGCTTTTTCATCTTATTTTTCGATTCTCTAGTTATCCACTGTCCTTTTGTCTTCTTTCAATTGCTCTTGTTTTGAGTTCACTTCATGAAGGTCCTATTTCTTTGTTCTATTTTTTCACTGTCCTTGACTGACATATTTTATATCGAGATGAGAGCATATAATAATAGGTTCAGGGATTTGAGGATTGAACACAGTTTTTATTATTCAGATTCATGAAGAGGGGAAGACTTTGTGTGTGTGTGGGGGGTTGGGTTTGCAGGGTGGAGGGTAAAGCTGGGAAGGGGTCATGAGGGTGGGGCAGGGCAGTGGTGATCGCTGGGCAAGGGGATTGCAGGGTGGTGGTTTGAGGTGGTAGTTGAGGTGGGTGTGTAGTGGTGGTAGTTTCCTGCATTTATATATGAAGCAAAACAGTTGAATTTATTCCTATCTTCTGTTCATATTTATGCAAATATTTCTTCAAATGTTGTGGTTGACTTGTGTTATTGTTGTTACAGATCCTTATTTTTCTGAACGAAGTGGATTATATATTGGCCAAGGAACGACCATGATGTCAAGAGCTGGGATGTTTCGCGTTTTACAAGGAATTGCTGTGGATATGAATAACAGAGTATTTGAACTTCCTTCCTTTCATGGTATAGTTTTCCCCCAAATATGCGAGCATACTTGATATTGATTATGATTTTATTGCAAGGAAATGATTTGGTGTGACATTTAATTATGGAGTTTTAAATTCCCTCACTTTTCAATGGTTTCTCAACTTGTTATGGTGTTAGGGACATGCATCTGTTTAGCAGTACAAATCCTTTTGTTTATTAGTTCTTGATTTCCCCCTTGTTTGTTATTCACTATAATGTAGTCTCTCTGTTTGTTTCAGGGTTACTTGGAAGGTGGATCATTATGGTAGGCAGGATAGGACCCAAGGATAAAAAATTCATTTTGGTATTTTGTTTTGGTTAGCTTGGAAACAATTTTTTTTTGAAACATTTCGGAACAGAAACATTTCAAGAAAATCAGTGAAATGACAAAAGAATTGGAAAATATATGGAAATGTTTGGAAACAAAACAAAAACTTATATAAATGTTAATAAATTTTTAATAGTTAATTACTTGAGCATGTTGAAGTCTATGAACGAAGATGAGATTCTATCCTAGGTTTACGTTGCCACCTTCAAGAGACTTTACTTACCAAGCTAGCTGACACCTTCTTTAGGTTGTTATGTTTTGAGTAAATATTATAAACCATTTTAATTTTGTTTCATTTCCATTTTGAGCATCGTTGTGTTATTGGGACTACAAAGTACTTATTGTTCTTAATCATCTGTTTCTTGAACTTTTTGGTTTCCAGATGTTCTGGAGGGGGAAATATTTCTGCAAAATCTGCCAAGCATTATCACCGCACATGCCCTTGGTAATTATCCTAGCATCATAGTTATTCTGACGAATTTATATATATATATATTGTTGTCCTCTCTCTCCTCTCTCCTTTTTGTGATGGATGTATTGTTGCTTTTTGTGAATCATTGTTTGTTGCCAAACATTCTTGTTACAGCCAAGGTGTAGAAATTGCATAAATTCCTTTAAACATCACAAGTTAAATCATGCTGCATTAGTTACCAATCCAATTTTATTGATGTTGACACTATTTTTCCTAGAATATCTACTTTGGCATATTAAAACTAAAAAATAAAAATATGAAAATAAACAATTTTGAAAAAATTGAACTATCTTGACCATTTAAGAAAAATAAACAACACTTATTTCAAATAAACACAAATTATAGGTCCCATGCAATTTAAGTTCTTCAAACTTAAGTTTAACCTACCTCTCAATTTTCCAATTATCCATTCCTAATTTACTAACATATAGTGAAAAATAAGATATCCATGTGGCACCCCTTTCTTATCATTCACCTCTCTCGGGGAGGCTGCCCATTGTAGATGGGTTATCTGTGAACAGTTGTATTGGTGGGTCCATTCTTTTCCAAGCAATATATTTCATCCAAGCTGAAGCATGCGGCTGAGGAGTGTTTGGGTTAAGTTAATTATGATGTCTCTACATTGGAGACACGTTCCTTGAGTGAGCGAGTTTGTTGAGTTTCTTTCTAATTCTTCATATTAGAGCGGAGGAGTGTTTAAAGGGTGAGGGGCCTGTGAACTTGCAGACAATGGATGCTGAGAATTAGAAAGGTATTACTAGGTGAGTTAGGAAGGCAGTTTCAGGAGGTGTTTTTTTTTTTTTTTTGTGATAAATAAGGCAGTTTCAGGAGGTGTTGGGGTTTCAGTGTTGCATATATATATATACATTGTAACAACACAAGGAAAGAAGACACCTGTAAATTGAGAAAGTAAAGGAATTGAAAACCCATTAAAATCGATGAACAATACAAAAGTACAATTTCTATCAAAATAAATGGAATAGAGAGATCTTTTTAGGCTCTTTTTTTGTGTATGTGAAAGAGAATATAGTCTTATTTTACAAGGAGAAAAAAAGTGATAGGTAGAGGACAATGGGGATGAGGGTAATTGGGTTTGTAAGTTTTTCTTTTATATTTTGTCTTTTTTGTTTTTTTTATAGTCTTCTGTTTTTTTTTTAAATTTTTTTCCCCTCTAGGTTTTATAGTGAAGGGTATTCCTTTTTGTGTGATATATTCTTTTGTTTATTTTTCTCTTGTGCCTTAGATCCTCAACAGGGAGACAGGATATTGGATATGTGTGCGGCTCCTGGAGGGAAAACAACTGCAATTGCTATCCTTATGAAGGACAAAGGAGAGGTTGTTGCAGTTGATAGATCTCACAATAAGGTGCAGTTTTTGATAGATCTCATCTCACTATTATGTTAAAACCTATCACCCACTTCACCCACTTAAACCTACTCCACTAAACCTAACCCACTACACCACTACCACCTCACCTACTCCACTAAACCTAACCCACTACACCACTACCACCTCCACTTCACTTACTCCTTACCTACTACACACTCACCCTCTTCTATATATAGGAATCATGAATCATTGTAATAAATATAACATTAGATCAATCAATAAATAATACATACAATTTATTCTCTCTCTATCAATTTATTTTTTATATGGTATCAGAGCAAGGTTAAAAATTTAGTATTTTTCGCTTCACCGGCAGGCGGCAACCTCGCTTTGGCCGCCTGCCGGACCTCAACCTAGTCCGCTAAAATTCTCTACACATACCTTCACTCTTCTTCACTACCTCGCCGAAGCAAACCTAAAATCCCTCTGGGACATTTCGTCGAACACCATGTCTGCAACAATGATGGGCAAAACACACACACACCATGCAGGCGGGACACCCAGCATAGCCAGACAGACAGGCCAATCTCTTCTCTCTGAGAACACACACATGGATAGTTTCTTCCAGCCGATTCTGGCCCTGCCAACGAACCCATCACGACATTCTTCACTTCTCCTCAGTTTAGAAACACCGTCTGCTGCCACAGATCCGGCGATTTCTCTCTCTTGGTTCTTGGAAATGGAGCAGAAAAATCAGTGTTTGTTGTCTTGGTTCTCGGAAATCGGCAAAGATGGGTTGGATGAGTCGATTCATAGCAGCGAGTGGCTTTCTTGGCAATCGGAGTCATATTCTCGCCGGAGACATTTGGATCATCTTCATCAAAGCTCCCCACATATTCCGCAGCATATTATTACACCATGGCAACTGCTCTATCGAGATTCTCGCACTTCGTCACTCTTCTGCTGCTGTTACTCCTCGTCGCGTCACTCTTCGAACCAACACACGGTGGAATCGATATCTCCGCCCTTGTAGTCGTCTCTCTTGTAGCCGTCTCTCTTGTAGTCGATATCTCCGCCCTTGTAATGTTTAGACCATTTTGGCGGAAGGTTCTGGTTACATCCGCCAAGAGCCCGCTCCTATCGGCTGTGCATAGCTCTAACCTCACACCCTCGGATGCTCTCCTTTCTATTACAGCTTGTAAGCATAGAATCACCCGTTGCTTTTCAGCTTCTGAACTAATTGGGGTATTATCTGTGTGCCTAATGAAGAACTCCAAATATGCTGTGTCCCCTGTTGTGTTGATGGTGGCATGGCAGACAACATATTCCATATCTTCTCTCTCTCATCTTTTCCCCTTTCTTTTTATTATTTTATTTCACCTTTCAATTCACACTTTCCACCCCCACAATCTATTTTTTAATCACCCTACGTGGTCTCACTTTTTCTTTTTCTTATTTTATTTCATCTTTCAATTCACACTATCACACACTCACCTTTCATCTTTTTTTTAATACCCCCCTCCACTTTCTTTCTTTTCTTTTCTTTTATTTATTTGTTATTATTATTATTTTTTTATTAAAAAAAAAAAAAAAAAAAAAAAAAAAAAAAAAAACGAAGCAGAAGAAGACGACCTGCACACCAAACCATCTTTTCTTCATCTCAGGGATCAATCCCGATCAGAATTTTACAGCAAAAAAAAAAAAAAAAAAAAAAAAAAAAAAACGAAGCAGAAGAAGACGACCTGCACACCAAACCATCTTTTCTTCATCTCAGGGATCAATCCCGATCAGAATTTTACAGCAAAAAAAAAAAAAAAAAAAAAAAAAAAAAAACGAAGCAGAAGAAGACGACCTGCACACCAAACCATCTTTTCTTCATCTCAGGGATCAATCCCGATCAGAATTTTACAGCAAAAAAAAAAAAAAAAAAAAAAAAAAAAAAACGAAGCAGAAGAAGACGACCTGCACACCAAACCATCTTTTCTTCATCTCAGGGATCAATCCCGATCAGAATTTTACAGCAAAAAAAAAAAAAAAAAAAAAAAAAAAAAAACGAAGCAGAAGAAGACGACCTGCACACCAAACCATCTTTTCTTCATCTCAGGGATCAATCCCGATCAGAATTTTACAGCAAAAAAAAAAAAAAAAAAAAAAAAAAAAAAACGAAGCAGAAGAAGACGACCTGCACACCAAACCATCTTTTCTTCATCTCAGGGATCAATCCCGATCAGAATTTTACAGCAAAAAAAAAAAAAAAAAAAAAAAAAAAAAAACGAAGCAGAAGAAGACGACCTGCACACCAAACCATCTTTTCTTCATCTCAGGGATCAATCCCGATCAGAATTTTACAGCAAAAAAAAAAAAAAAAAAAAAAAAAAAAAAACGAAGCAGAAGAAGACGACCTGCACACCAAACCATCTTTTCTTCATCTCAGGGATCAATCCCGATCAGAATTTTACAGCAAAAAAAAAAAAAAAAAAAAAAAAAAAAAAACGAAGCAGAAGAAGACGACCTGCACACCAAACCATCTTTTCTTCATCTCAGGGATCAATCCCGATCAGAATTTTACAGCAAAAAAAAAAAAAAAAAAAAAAAAAAAAAAACCCAAACCAAAACACCCAAAAAACGGTTAGTTCCTATCCCCTTTGAGTTTGCGGGGGGCTGTTAAAACCTATCACCTACTTCACCCACTTAAACCTACTCTACTAAACCTAACCCACTACACCACTACCACCTCCACTTCACCTACTCCTTACCTACTACACACTCACCCTCTTCTATATATAGGAATCATGAATCATTGTAATAAATATAACATTAGATCAATCAATAAATAATACATACAATTTATTCTCTCTCTATCAATTTATTTTTTACAAGTTCCTTGGCGTATGACATTTGCATTGATGAATTTGAAATAATACTAGTCCAATTAGGTGTAGATTGGGTAGGATGGCATCCAAATGTCGTCTAGAAATGATTATATGAAATTGAGCTAAGTGCTCTTAGATAGGTTGGGTATGAGTCATGGATTTTACAGAGCTTGATATACATTGTTGGGCTAATATCCTAACAGCTTAAGCTTTTGGGACTAGTTGTAATCTAACATGGTATTAGAACTCAAGTTGGAAGAGGAGGTCTTGGCTTCAAGTCTTTCTAGTTGCATTTGGTCCCTGTTTGCTTCTTCTTCTTCTTCTTCTTTTTTTTTTTCCTTTTCTTTTTGTACGTAAGGATGTTTGCATCTCCATGTGCAAGACGATGTTGCATGTGAGGGAGGGTGTTAGAGAGCTTGACATACATTGTTGGGCTCATTACCTAACAACTTAAGCTTTGGGACTAGTATCTAACAATTGAGATTTTATTTTATATTATTTTATTTTTTAATTTTATTATATTTTATTTCCTTGGGGGTGGGGTGGGTTATGAGAAATGAAAATATGGAGGATAAAATACAATAAGTGAATAGATCTCTTATTGGAATAAGCTGCAAGCAACCAAACATCATTTAAAAGAACTGACAAAGATATGAATTGCAAATCAGTTTAAAGAAGTGAAAGTAATTGCAAAAATATGGAGGTGCAAGTGGGTTTGTGCTCTGTTGCAAGTGAAAACTTTGGCCTTACTTGCACTAGACCACAGGCCTTGGTGGCCACAAGTAGTCTGCCAGCCAGCTATGATGCCAAGTCCACGTAGGGTGGATGGTTGTGACAATGAGAAAGCTCCTTTTGTGGAATTGGCGCTTCATTGAAGCATTTTATTGTTGAAAGGGGATCTTTCTTTTGATTGTTTTAGGGTTGTAGTTTTTTTCTTTTTCTTTTTTAATTTTACTGATTGTATGTGGGTTGTGCTCTCTCGGCAAGTTCTTAATACAATTTACTTGGTGACTGATAAAAATCATATTGCATGACAATGTTTGATAATTTTGATATTTAAACATAACCAAATACTATAAGCAGATTAATACTTTAATGCTGGCAACATGTGTTTGGTCTGATACTTAAAATTTTCACATCTAAAAATGTGTTGTCTTCTGCCCTTTTTTCTCTTAAAAATAGATTTTTGTGAAGTTATAATTATGTTACTTCTAATCATATTTTATTTTGTAGGTTCTTGATATCCAGAAATTGGCTGCTGAAATGGGATTGAATTGTATAACCACCTACAAATTAGATGCTCTTAAAGCTGTTCATAAAAGAAATGAATCCAGTGACATGCACACTTCGTCATTTGTTGCCCCAGAACCGCCAAACATTGATTTCACCAGAAATGAAAACTGTATGTTAATTCTTTTTATATGGCCTATATTTTATGATTCATGATTTGTCTTGATACGTGGGTACATGGGAGAACAAGTGGTAGATATGCAAATAGTGCGTTTATAACAGTTGCACTAAAAAAAAAGAAGATGAAATCATCAAACTTCCACTGGAATAGCCACATATGGTATTGAACTCTAGCATAACATGTCACGTTGGAGAGCTGAAAGGGTTAGAAGTTTCGAACCTTGAAACATGGTTGTGCTTTGAACCATGAATTATACTCTAGAAATTCTCCTTAGGGTTTCCCTTTTTACCTTTGATTTAATTCTCCTTAGAAGGCATGTGATTACCTTTGCTAGCTTTAGTCTAATCTCCCTTACTACACATGGCAGGAATTCATTTCCATTTTGGGGATGACAGATTTATGGTTGTTCCTATTCCATGGTTGATATGTGCATGATGAGTGCAACTTCCCCTACCCTATGAGTGCAACTTCCATATCTAACCAACTTATAATATTTCAGTTACCAATGGACAAGCAACTCAAATGACTTACACTAGCAAGGCTGAACTCCGGAAGAGTATCTCGACACAGAGAAATGGGGTTGGAAGAAATCATGGCATTGGTGGTAGGGTTGAAAAATCAGAAGGTTTTTCTCCAAATAGCTTCGATCGAGTTCTTCTTGATGCTCCTTGCTCTGCTCTGGGTTTGAGACCTCGACTATTTGCTGGAGAGGTAGGATATTTTCCTGGATTTTATTTTATTTTTTTATATTATTGTTTATTTTTTCTTACAGTTACCTATTTTTGCTTGATGCTCCTTGTTCTGTGTTTTTTTTATCTTGGTGGTTGGCTTCTTATCTGTTGCTGGTTTTTCACTTTCTCCAATTTAGTAGGTGGTCGTTGACCACAATGATACTTAAAAATAGATCAACAATTCTTGCTAGATCGATACCAGAATCTCTATATGGTTTTAATGATGAAGTGCGTATTTGGACAATAGTATCCCCAGACTATGAAATTTTGCATGCTGTTGAATCAGAATTATCTGGACAAGCATGTAACAGTTGAATACCTGTTGAATGCAATTATGCAACCAATGGGAAGTTGCTATCTTGTCTTTTTGTTGAAAATCTTCTTTGGTACCATTTTATTGAGGGGATTTTGCTCTGTGGTAGATTTTGCAAGCTGATGCACAGTGGGAAAATAAGAAGAATATCTAATCTGGATTTTCTTGGAGCATGTTTTGGGTCAATTTGTGCCATTGTTTCCTGTACAATCTGAACTTAACTGAGTATGTAGCTCTTGACAGAGCAGAATGATGAAAAAGATTCATGTAGCTGATCCTACTTGATTGGAACCCAATGCTTAATTGGGATTGGTTTGGAGTTGGGCTGTTTTGGTAATTTCATATTTTTGGACATAGGCTGTAGCATGGGTACATGGACTGTTCTTGATTACATATGATTTTTTCTCTGGTTTTTGTACACAGTCTATATTAGCTGTTGAATATCCTAGCTAGTCAAAGACTTTAGTTTTATTTATGGAATTAGATAAAGTTAGTAGAGCCCAATAGGAGTTTCTTTTTCTAAACCCATAACAAGCTTTTGCAGCTTTTTGTGATGTATTAGCCTTTACCCGTTGTGCTTAATTTCAAAAGAATTCTAAGTGGATCCTAGATTTTTTTTCTTTATCTACTTCTTTTCTTTCTCATCTTCTTTTGAGTTACCATCCATAAGAGGCTCCGGTGTATAGAGAAGACCTTACTGTTCAAGAAAATCAAGGCCAATAAACAGCCCCTAAATTATGGCAAAACTATGCTCTAACAAGCTAATGACCCTTTTCTGTACTTTCCAGACTTCAAATTCAACCCCAAAAGCCATGAAATAGTTGCTGTCTAGAATTTTAGTAATTAATTCTTTGCAAATCTTGCAACTTACTACCTTTTCAATCAAGCCAATTCCAACCCCCCTGCATCTATAAACCTTACACTTCAAGGGCTGTAGTTATGTGTCTTTTGCACTGAGCTTAGGAAGATCTCATAGATTGATTTTGTTAGACAGAAAAGTATGGAGAGGAAGTATTTTGACAGTATAATATCTACCAAGAGTCCACTTCCTACTCAAGTTCAATCTTAATGATTGTAATTACTCTTTTCTACCATAATGATAGAATTTCATTGTTACACTATTTTTTAAGTTTCATATTGTTTGGGGTGTAAATGAAGTCTTAGTAACTTTGATTAGATAGAGAATAGCTAAAATTTGTTTTTTTTTAATAGCTTAAAAAAATTGTCTGTTAAAAAAAATAATAGCTAAAATTTGTGAGTATTCTAAAACATCTAGTCTTACAATGGTCATTTTCAATGAGATAGGTAGTTGCAAGAGTTAGAAAGAGTAACATAATAGGGAATGGAAGGCCAAAATTTTGTTGTGTTGGGATGCACAGAGATGCATGGCAGTGTGTTATTCAACTGGAATTTAACTCTAAGCAGAGAGGAATGGTAGAACAAGATTCATATAGCCAAATCCAATTAGTTGGGACAAGGCCTCATTGGGTCAAGTAAGTTTCTTTATCTTGTGCAAACATTTTCTTATCTATTCTTAAAACTTCCAACGGGCAACTTTTCTCTTTTTGTTTTTACTTGTATAGAGATATAGTTGTTTTTGTTGACAATGAAGAAACAACTTTGTGGATTCTATTTCAGTTGGCCTTTTGGTTTCTTTGTTTAAACTACCATACTTGGTACTGGAACTGGATTGTTCTGGTCTGTTTATGGTTTACCTTTGTTAAATGATAATACTTATTTCTCACATAAAAACCACATTAAAATTAAGTCTACCAAACACATTAAAACTAACCCTATCGAACGTAATAACCACTAAAATTCTCATGTAAGCCTCTTAAAGTCCTAATAAAATGAAAATTTAGCAATAGTATTTCTGTGGGTCCTAATGATTATTAATAAATTAAAATATATTAATCAACATTGATTTCTTGCAAGGCCCATATCATCTTGGCTGCATTGCATAATGTAGATGTTAAGTAAGGCTCAAGTAAAATGAAAACTTAACTTCACAATGTCCCAACTATGCTTCATGTATTTTCCAATTTGTCATTATTCATTCTATCACGTCTTTGCAAAAATAGTTACAATATACTTGAGTTTAAAAAAAATGCAACAATTAAAAAATGCAACAAATGCAACTAAACTATACTTGATGAGTTTGGTTGTTTCATTTTGAGGAGAATAATCTATTAAGTTTGTGTTTGGATAATTTAAAAAGTTGATGTTGGGCATCACTTTCTGTTTTTTTGGTGTATTTATGACATCACAAAGACTTGTTCAATGCAGAGTAGTTATTTTATATATGTTTTAATCTCTCTCAAATGGTGACTTGCAAGTTGCAACTTCTTTTTTGTCATTCTTTATTTTGCTTGATGCAGGACACAATAGAGTCGTTGAAGAACGATGCAAAGTATCAAAGGAAAATGTTTGACCAGGCTGTTCAGCTAGTTCGTCCTGGTGGAGTTTTAGTGTATTCCACGTAAGTGCACATTTTTTTAAATTAATATTTTTTTGATGAGTATAATATTTTGTAATGGCACCCAATAGGTGCAATCTGGAGAAAAAAAAAAAAAAACTATACATCAATTTTTTTTTTCAAAGGTCTCTATAAAATCTAGAAGATGGTCCAAAGACAGAGCACTGGCCATACAAAATAGATAAAAACTATTTAGCACGGACATATGATACGACATGGACATGCTGACACGTTGGTTTGCATAAAAGGCAGGACACAACATGCTTGGGACACATTTGGAATTATATTTCTACCAGTTTATTATATGTCATACAAATATCTTACTCGATAATCGTTAGTTACCCTTCTATTCAACCTCCCATTCCAATGAGAGGTAGGGTACATATCTTGGTTGTAGGTTGGGAATATTTGAAAGGTATGTAAGGCATTTGAATAGAAGGAAGGGACTATTTTTAAAGGTGGTGAGATTAGATTGTTGGTTTAGGAGTGGTAAAATGCATGAAGAGAAGAAGAGAGGGGAGGGGTGTTCCAAAGGTGAATTTGTCATTGGGTTGACAAACTCTTTGATCAATATGATGTCCTCCTTTCTTCACTATACCTCCTTTTTCTAAGGTCTGGTTGACCAACTCATAAGCTAGTTGACAATCTTGGTTGACCAGGGTTGAGGCTTGATGATTCAATTGATTTCTTCAATCTAAATCATCTCTCCAAATGTGAAGTAAGTATGGTCTTCTATATGTTGTTTTGCCAAGTTATATGTCCAAATGTTAATCTTTCACAATTGTATTTAACTCAATTTCACATTCAAGATTAATGTAATTGATTGAGTATTATTTCAAACATTCAACTAAGCATTCATCTCTTTCTTTCAAGATATAGGTACGTAAAATATAGTTCATTTAATTGAATTTATTGAATACAAATATAAGCATTAAAGAAGGTAAGATATAGTTTAAATCTACTGATAGAAGACGTGATGGTGTAAGATTTGTTTGGGAAGCTTGGCATTGGACTTGTGAACTGCAAAGCAGGATGTGTAGCAAACAAGGAATCATGCATTAGGTAAAGACGTTTTTGGTTTTCTGAGCTACAAAACAATGTAAACAACGTATTTATATGCATCTCAACATTACATGAATAGTATTTGGTAGGTGGCTATCATCATTTCAATTTATTTCCTCAAACATGTTGTGCGCCTTGTTTCCCTCAGACAAGCTTCCTGCTTGCACTTTGACTCTGGGCTATATGCATGTTTTCTTATACATTAATATACAATACAGAAGAGTACATTTAAATGTGGTTTTTCTCCCACCCTTTTACTTTCCTGTTCTCTCTCCCCCTTCTTGTTCATGATCTTGGCACTTGGTTCCACGCCTTTGAGTAATTATATATGTTTTTGTTATAATTATGTGGTCTCATTTTATTCCATAATGATTTCAGTGTTTATCTTATTATTTTATATCTATCCTTCCACCTGACATTGGGAAGGAAGAGTACAGTTCACATGAATCCTACAAATTTTCAGGTGTACAATCAACCCAGGTGAGAATGAAGCACTGGTCCGATATGCTTTGGATGCATATAAGTTTCTTTCATTGGCAGTACAGGTTGGACAACAAGTTTTAAGTTTTATATACTGTTCCATTTTCCAGATGGTTTGATTCATCCCAATTTAACTGCATTTAAAAAAAAAAGAGGAAGTTATCTATGGTAAAGGTCTCATCTACTTCAGATTTCGGACATAAATGCTATTGTTCTATCTTTATGCTTGAAATCGTACCTTATCCAAGGAAAAAAAATTTGAAAAACAAAAAAGTAACTGCTATGTTCCCAATTTAACTGCATTTAAAAAAAAAGAGGAAGTTATCTATGGTAAAGGTCTCATCTACTTCAGATTTCGGACATAAATGCTATTGTTCTATCTTTATGCTTGAAATCGTACCTTATCCAAGGAAAAAAAATTTGAAGAACAAAAAAATAACTGCTATGTAGAAGTATAGGTCATCAGATAAGTAGGAACTTAGTGTGTAATAGTTCTAGTTGTAACAAAATTTAGGAATACCTTGAAGTAATCTTGTGAAAGTTCAGAATATGTAAAAAAAAAAAAAAGAGTATAAAATAAACACCTGTAAATGTACAACAACATTTGTGATTGTGTTTTGTGTGATTTGGGGGAGAAACTTTGTTACTTTGCTTTCTCGTGGGCTTTGGTTTCCAGGATTCCTTTAGTTTTGATCTCTAGAGATTAGAAAGTCTAGTAGTATGTAATGTATTTTGTTGTTGTTGCTGCTTTTGGTGGACTTTGTGTCCCTGTTTAACTTTTTGATTTATATCAATAATTTTGTTTTGTTGCCAATCAAGAAAATTTTTAAAAAAAATTCTCTGCTCTTTCTTGACCACGAAACAGTTTTGGGGGGAATAAGTATAGCTTCCACAGAAGTTCCTTGCATTAAATGTTAAGAAATTTCAAAGCCTCTTAAATCTAAATTAATTTCACTCATTGAATCTTATAGTATAGAAGTGAATTAATGGTAAAATTAAATCCAAATACGCAAGTAACAGTGTGCAATCATGTGGTCAATTATTTTATCGCTTATAAACAGTAAAATATGTACTTATTATTTGCACTTCTGTTCCTCTTTTAGTTATAGTGAATACTACACTACCTACATTTAGTATGGCTCTGAATTGTTATTGTTGAGGTACTTTTTAAATACTCTTTGGATTTAGTTATGATATTTCAAGCCATGCAGTCTGATTTTTTATTTCATTTCAGCACCCAAAAATTGGAGGACCTGGTCTTGTTGGTGGTTGTGAACTGTCTAATGGATACATTGAGTATGTTCTCTTGTCCTCTACTCATATCCTATATATTTATTTTGCAATCTGCCATACTCTTATGTAAATATATGTTTTAAGGTATTGGATTCATGCAGAACATTGTCATTGCTGCTAATAATACAAAACTGGCCCAAGCACTTTTCCCTCATTTGACTGACAAATGAAAATTGGGAGACTATCATATGTTTCTTTGATACTTCTCATCTTTTCCTTATTATTTAATTGAAAAATGAAAATTGGAAAATTCCCTTACTTTCTTTGAAACTTGGATGGATTTTTAATCTTATTTGCCTCTCCAATTTCATTTCTGTCTGGTATTGCGCAATGGAAGCTCAAATGTAATCTCACTTTTGTAATCACAATCATACTCGTGAACAGTGGTGTAATGTCGATAAATGAAAGTATTTCCTACTGACGTTAAAAATCCGTATTAAACTCAATACCAATAAGAGACGATGATGCCTTCTGTGAAAAACAAATAACTAAAATCATTGCTTTTGATACACATTGTTAAAATCATAATGATAATGATATGATACAGTTTATTTGTTGGGAGTTTAAGGAACCAGCTTGCAGAGTGCCAGATACTTCCCAATACCATCACACTGAATGACACCATTATTGCAACCGATGCTGCATTTGAAACCATGGTCTTATGTTTATTACATGTTCTGTTTTTTAGAGTTTCTTGAGAATGGGCGACCGATAATTGCGGTGAATGGAGTAAAGAGCTGTTGACTTATTTTGATGTTCGGTTTTTTCAGGGAATGGTTAAGACCTGGTGAAGAAGATCTTGTTCAGAGATTTGATCCGTCATCTCCACTTGATACAATTGGATTCTTCATAGCCAAGTTTAATGTTGGCCCAAAAGGTACCTGACTTTTCTTAGAAAATATGTGACTTTGGCATGGGTACGATTAATTTTAGCCAATGCAGCTCCTCTAGGGAAATCATTGTCCAAGATTTTTTTTTTTAATTTTAAAAAAAGGGGCCTCTAAGGTGTCAATTTTTACTAGGATTTGAGTGGAACATCTTGTTAGATGGTACATGACATGGATTATTCAGAATATTCTCTCAATTCACACATCACAAACGGGTATGTAAAATATGGAAACCAATTTTGTTGTACAATTTGCATCTCCAAGTGCGATGCGTGCATGATGGTTATAAAGATCATAACCTGTATTTCTTAACTGCTGTAAGCTTTCTGTGGTGTGATTTTCTCTTAGGATTTGAAATGTTTTTGCCTGTGTTCTATGTTTCTGACACATCAGTAGTGACATTTGCTTGGATTATGCTTCACAGCGACTCTACGTCGGTTTTCTCCTTTCACAAATCCAAGATCCAAATAAAGCCTAAAGAGAAGTCTAAACTAACAAATTTACAAAGGTCAAACTTATCATCACTTGGTGGGTTGATTACCTTCTTCCTTTAGGATTCTATTGATTGTAGAAACATCCAACCTTGCTGATGCTTGCTTCACCCAGTTGACCACCTTCTCCGCTTCCTGCACGACTTTCTCTTCCTCTGCCATCGCCACCTTCAATCTCCGCTCTTGTTCTTTCACTGAAAACGTGCTCATATCTGACAACATCTCTTCATTCTTTCCCCACTCAGTAATGCTGCCGCCTTTGATATCAAGCCCAGAAACATCATCATCACCCTTTTTCTTCTTTTTGTTGGAAAAGCAAAAGCAAAAAAAGCTTGATCTTTCACTCATTTGATTTGAGCTCTTGCAATATTGAAGAACAAACCTCAAATTGATCCAACTGTTTCACACCAAAGGGTTTGAGAGGGGACGGGTTGATTCCTAGTCTATGGTTTTGCGTGTCAACTAGTTAGTGCTGAGTTATTGGGACCCATTAGCATTGTTTGTTACCAAAAGATTGAATTATGTGATGACCATAGTTGTTGGTGTGTAAACATCAAGCTGGTGGTGGGACAAGCATGATTTTGCAATTTAATTAATTGCTTCTTTATTTGTATTATTTGATTTTTAATTATAAGGGTCTACTTCATATACTTATTTATACCGAGTTTTTTGACTTTCGAAAATATTAGTAAGATTTTTCATTCATTAGAATGGCCAACAGAATAATAAGATGATAGCAGCAACCTTAGTGATTAAAATGTCAATGTTGCCCTTGATTACCCCTTTCTAACATTGTGGAAATTAAAGGATTAATTACACCGACCTCCCTCAGGTTTTTAATAATTGTGGAAACCTTCCTTGTCTATTATCTCTATGGTGCAACTATACAGGATCTCAACTTGTATGGTCTCAGGGGAAGTTAGTAATTTATTCTAATTGTTCAATTAAAAAAGAAAAGATTAAAATGAGATTTAGGATAAAGTGTAAATGTGCAAAAAAAAGTCTTAACCCCTACATGCCATAAAAAAAAAAATTGAAATCCAAAGAAAAACTGCTTGGAAATGAACTATATGTTAAATTCGTGACCTTAAATTCAGTTTGTCAAACATTTTAGCTTGATTTCAACATTATCCGGCTCGAAGAGACTTGTTTGTCAAATTTTGTCTCTCACTTCATTTTTGTTATAAAAAAAAAAAGGGAAAAAAAAAGAGAAGGCATGCCACCAATTACATGGGATTCAATGGATATTCCATTATCATTTTCTTTGCGCCTACGTGGTAATTAGTCAGATACTCAGCATATCAAACAAAGAAATATCAAACAAAGAATTTGATTTGTTTTTTTTTTTTTTTTTTTTTTCCTCACGAAATTGTCCAAAAAGTTATATGTAATCTTCTACAATAACAAACACTGATTGACAATGTTAATGATAGCTCAAAGGCCTATCAGTAATATTGTTAAATATGTATTAAAAAAATATAAAAATATATTAAAATGCATCAAAGTTGTATTGAAATTTTAATTATTTTGTGTATCTTAATGATTTCCTCTGCCATCGCCACCTTCAATCTCCGCTCTTGTTCTTTCACTGAAAACGTGCTCATATCTGACAACATCTCTTCATTCTTTCCCCACTCAGTACTGCTGCTGCCTTTGATATCAAGCCCAGAAACATCATCATCACCCTTTTTCTTCTTTTTGTTGGAAAAGCAAAAGCAAAAAAAGCTTGATCTTTCACTCATTTGATTTGAGCTCGTGCAATATTGAAGAACAAACCTCAAATTGATCCACCTGTTTCACACCAAAGGGTTTGAGAGGGGATGGGTTGATTCCTAGTCTATGGTTTTGCGTGTCAACTAGTTAGTGCTGAGTTATTGGGACCCATTAGCATTGTTTGTTACCAAAAGATTGAATTATGTGATGACCATAGTTGTTGGTGTGTAAACATCAAGCTGGTGGTGGGACAAGCATGCTTTTGCAATTTAATTAATTGCTTCTTTATTTGTATTATTTGATTTTTAATTATAACGGTCTACTTCATATACTTATTTATACCGAGTTTTTTGACTTTTGAAACTATTAGTAAGATTTTTCATTCATTAGAATGGCCAACAGAATAAGATGATGGCCAACAGAATAATAAGATGACAGCAGCAACCTTAGTGATTAAAATGTCAATGTTGCCCTTGATCACCCCTTTCTAACATTGTGGAAATTAAAGGATTAATTGCACCGACCTCCCTCAGGTTTTTAATAATTGTCGAAACCTTCCTTGTCTATTATCTCTATGGTGCAACTATACAGGATCTCAACTTGTATGGTCTCAGGGGAAGTTAGAAATTTATTCTAATTGTTCAATTAAAAAAGAAAAGATTAAAATGAGATTTAGGATAAAGTGTAAATGTGCAAAAAAAGTCTTAACCCCTATATGCCATGAAAAAAAAAAAAAAAAAAAATTGAAATCCAAAGAAAAACTGCTTGGAAATGAACTATATGTTAAATTTGTGACCTTAAATTCAGTTTGTCAAACATTTTAGCTTGATCTATGTAATTTCAACATTATCCAGCTCGAAGAGACTTGTTTGTCAAATTTTGTCTTTACTTCATTTTTGTTATAAAAAAAAAAAAGGAAAAAAAAAAAAAAAGGCATGCCACCAATTACATGGGATTCAATGGATATTCCATTATCATTTTCTTTGCGCCTACGTGGTAATTAGTCAGATACTCAGCATATCAAACAAAGAATTTGATTTGGCTTTTTTTTTTTTTTTTTTTTTTCCTCACGAAATTGTCCAAAAAGTTATATGTAATCTTCTACAATAACAAACACTGATTGACAATGTTAATGATAGCTCAAAGGCCTATCAGTAATATTGTTATATATGTATTAAAAAAATATAAAAATATATTACAATGCACAAAAGTTGTATTGAAATTTTAATTTTAATTTTTAATTATTTTGTGTATCTTAATGATAGCCAATGAATTATCTTTGGCATGACCTATAAACAAAATTATATTTTTACTAAATTAATTTAACAATAATATTAAGAACACTATCAAATATATCAAGTATTTCAATTATACACAAAATTTAACAAGTTCTATGTTATACTATAGTACTCACAATAACAAATATATATATTTTATATTTTCAATAAATTACTATATAAAAGGAAGGGTATCTCTCAATATTTAAAAAATTGAAATAATTGTTACACATTCTAAAATATATTTTTATATTTTCCATCCATCAACTAATATATCATAGTCTTGTAAAAGGAAAATAATATACAAATTTATTTTTTAGATTCATTTTTATATTTATTGTTATATAAGAGAAATGATTTGTTAATAATTAAAAAAAGATATGAAAGTGAAAATAATTTTAAATATGCTAATTGATTATCACATCATTATATTTGAGAATTAAGCATAATGCCCATCTAAAAAATTGTATGTAATACTTGGGATAAAAAGTGGGACTCACCATTTATCTCATGTATGCTTCATTTTGGAAAACACATTTGGGTGATTGAGAAGTTTGAGAATGCATGATAAATAATGATTAGTTAGAAAGTATGAATACTTGAGGGTTGATTTGGAAAGTTGTTTAAAAATTATTTTTTTAGTTTTTTTGAGTTTTTTTGTCATTTTATGTATAAAAAATATGAGAGGTGATGTCACCCAAAATGAGTTAAAAGTTAAAAGCTAATTTTTATCTAACTTTCCAAATTGCCCTTTAGTACTTTGGGTAAATATTTTATTAATATTTCTATCAAATATTTTACTTGGGCGGTAGAACCCACACCTTGTGGATTACATGTGGATCTTACACTCATTTGAGCTCCAAATGTTTTACTAACATTTCTATTAAATGTCTTACATGAGTATGAGACTCACACCATGTGAGTCTCATACGAGTCTCACACTTATGAAAGATATTTAATAAAAATATTAATAAAACATTTAGGATCCCTAGTATTAATTCTCCAAAAATATTTTATAATTTTTCTTGGCATAAAAAAATGAAGCAATAATAATTTATACTACTAAAAAAAAAGACCACTAATAACACTAATGTATTGGGAATCAAAAAAAAAAAGAAAAGGCATAGGCAGTAGGCGAAATCCACTACCACATTATTAGTGCTACTATTAGAGCACCACTCTTAGTGCTCTTAACTATTTTTCAAAACAGTAGTGATACATACTACTAAAAAGAGAGCAATAAGCCAACTCTAATGAGCTGGGCAGTACAAGAAATAAAAAAAAAAAAATAACAAAACATTAAGGGTTAGTTTGAGATGTTCTAAAAAAGTATATTTTTGGACTTATTGGCTTATATTGGTTGGGTTTGAGTTGGGTTTGATATGATGCGTTAGAGAAGTGATATAATTTAAATAAAATGATGTGACTTAAATAAAATAATAACTTTTTAACTTTTTGTATTATTTAATTTATGTTAAACTAACCCTAAATTGAAATTAGAGCTCATTGTTACAGACCTCTTAAACAATTTTCTTCTCAAAAATGAAGTGGGTCCCGGCAGTGCCAGTGGGTCCCACCGGCCTTGAAAAAAATATGACCGTTATACCTCTATAACCAGAAGAACCCCAAAGGGGCCACCAAACTCTCTCTCTCTCTGTGCAATGGCAGATTTTTCGGAACTTTCAGATAGTAGTGATGAGAGTGCAGTGGAAGAGCTCCTCAGTCAAGCAATGGATCACTCCGTTCTTGAACAGATTGCCGCCATTAACTGCTCTGGTTTCACTTCCGACTCTGTTCTTCCGTCTCACCTCGAGACTCGTTTCCGCAGGCTTAAGTCCTTACCAACAACCACCACAAAATCAACGTCTCTGTCTCCCACTCTTGCCAATCACAAGAACAACCCTTCTTCTTCAAGCTTCAATTCACAGTTTCCCTCTGTTAAACCTATCAATCCCCAATTCGATAGCTCAGTTGAAGGCAAACCCGAGTTACACTCACTGTCTGATGAAGACCCAAATGAGCAACAAACAGGGTTTGAAGCCGAAATTGAGTTCTGGGTCTGGTTCTTCTGTTTCAAAATCGTCGAATTCATCTGCTGGAAATGGGAATTTCTCAACTTTGAAGGAAAGCCCAGATGGGAAAATAGGTTCGAAACCAAAATCACGATCTGGATCATTCTTATTCCCTTCTGATTCTCCAATTTTTTTTGATTCTCCATCACCACCTAAGAAAACAGGTTGTTTCTGGTGTTCTCCCAAAAGGGTTTCCAGGAAAAATAGCAAGGAAATTGGAGTTGATGTTGATTGGGGGAGGAATAGCGAGGGGTTCCTGTCGGATTTGAATATTTTTTCAGCGAAAGAGCAACAGAAAATTCTAAAGAAGGCAATGAAGGAGGAAGAGAAAATCAATCGTGAAGCCGAGAAAATTGTGAAATGGGCGAAGCAGGGGTCTGCGAGAATGAATATTTCAGACATTGAAGATGAGCTAAGTGACAACGAGAACCCCAAATAAATATGGTTGTCATGGCATAACCTTGTTCAAATTTTTATTTTATTTAAATATAAAATAGTATATGGTTTTCTTGATATATTATTCTCTTTTGATCTCTGTTATCAATTACATAATGTTGTAAAGGATTCTAGTTGTTTCAATATGTTAATACGAAGAAATATTTATTTTGTTTGTGTTCATAGTTATCCTTGGTGATGCCTCAGATTTGAGGAGTGAGGTTGTTTCCCATTTCATCTTTGTTTTAAAATCAATTTCCTATTTCATTTTTGTTTTCCTATTCTAAAATCAATTTCCCATTTCATCTTCGTTATCATTTGCTTAATTTTTCTTAGTGATCAGGAGAGTTATTGAAACACAAAATGAATACGGATTGCCTAATTTTGTTTTCAGGGCCTAGGTTGGTATTGTGTTTATGTGGAATCAAATATTATTAACAAATGTCTCCAATCTAAATTAAGGTTCAGGTATCACAATCAAAGAATATAAATATGGGAAGTGAAAGTTCATGAATTTTTAAATTGAAGCTTTTGTATTATTTCAACAGAATAGTAAAGTATGTGTGCAGTGGAGGTAAGTACATATAGTGCTAAAGAGGGTGATGAAGGATGCAAATGAGAGCAGTAGGATAGGAATACTGAAAAGGTTGTTGAACCATCAAAATGGGCAGCTTTTAGATGAATGCTTCTGACATTGAAATTTTGCCGAGTATTGATGCAAATTATTGAGGATGAATGCAAATTATTGAGGACAAATAGCAATCCAAGAAAATCAGTATGTATTTAGAGCTATTCAATGAACATGGGTAAATTACAATGACTTCCTAAGGTTTGGAGAAAATACAAGCCTCACAATTTTGACATAAATATATTTTGGTTGGCTTTGTTGTTACCTGTTTTGGATAAATATATGCTCATGTTGTTAATGAATTGAAGTTCATAAACAAACATTGTTGTATGGGTATGTAAACTAAAGCAAAACTTGAGTTTGAATAGTTGTTAAAGTGCAGAAAATTGTTCGAGGCTTAGGATGAAAGCCATTCTCCACACCCCCTAATCCTTTGCATGCTCTCTCCCTCTGTCTTCCAAATTGTGCTAGTGTGGGGAAAGTTGGCGAATGGGGGATGTGTAAAGAGGATTTCCCTGGAGGTCAGAGAAAATGCAAGATGAACCATGTCTACGTACATAGTGTAAAGAAAATTGATGCATATGAACTTTAGTATCTGCTTTAACATGAATTAACAACAAAAACAAGCATTCTTCTTTGTTGAAAGGCCGAATTAACATAAATTTAACATTTTTTTTTTCTTCTGGCAACTTTAGTCTAGAAGCTCCTGGATAATCTAGAAGGGCTGAGGATGGTGTTTCTACCACCAAATTTTCAAAGAAAACTAAAAACTAAATTATCAAAATCAACATTTTTGAACCAACAATTTGCTGCACTAATGACCAACCTTCTTGGGAAGGTCACATGCCCATCTTCTTTTTTTTTTTTTTTTTAAGCTTTCCTTTTTGGTAAGACAAGAAGGCACTTGTGCAAGAAACTAACCAGATGAAGGGCAGAAACACAATAATGCTGTGTTCGGATCTTGAAAAATGTAAATGAAAATTGAATATACATATTCTATTCATAGGTTAGTTATTAAACCTACACTGTCAGCATCAGCAAACACCAACATAATCAAATATTTAAAAACTTAGTAAGATTAATACAACCTAAATTTCAATTTATTCATACATAAATAATTTATAAAATAATTAATTTCCACTGAGTGCAAGGCTTGCATTGTGTCCAGGTAAGATCGCTACCTATATCGACAAATCCCGAACAATGGAACAGGTGGAGTTCCAATGGATAACTTCATGACGTACTCTCTACTGGCGTCAACAATTTGGGATTGGATACTATCAGTCGAAGATTTTAAGGTCTGCTTGAAGTGACTGGCGCAAGAAAATGAGCGACGAAAAGAGTTGACAAGGTGGTTCAACTTCTTGGTGGATGGGTTGTCGTGTGGAGAGAGTGGAGAGTCGCGGGGGATGAGTTCGGCGGTGAAACCACCACCAACATCACCACTACTGCCACTAGTCTGGGCTGCAATGGGACAATGGCCTTGTTTGGTAGGACTTATTTCCAGTTTATTTTAGTTTTTAGTTTAATTTAAGCTATTTTGATGTGTTTGGTTCAGCTTAACAATACAGCTTATAGCTTTTTGTAAGTCAAAAATCAACTTATTCTTTGAGTGGGGGAGGAGAAACTTGATTTATAAGTCAAAAATCAGCTTATGTTCATAACTATAAGCTATAAGCTGTTAGGTTATAAGTTATAATCACTTTTCCATAGCTCTACCAAATGGGGCCAATTAAGTATTGAAAGTTGAATAAAGCAAAAGAATGCCCAGTGATGAATTAAAAATGGCTGCCATTACTAAAATTTTGAGAGAGGGAGATAGTGGGGATGATTAGGCCTCGTTTGGGAATAAATTATTTTAGTAATTTTTTGACATTTTACGAAAAGATGTGTAGAAAAATAAAGATAGTGATGTGACAACTTATAGTGATTTTTTGACTTTTTTAACTAGGCTGAGGGTGACAAAGGAGAGAAGAAGCAAATAAAGGAGAAATGGAAGGTCAAAGGGTGAGTTTATGGTGCATTCACACAAGTGATTAGAGACCAAAAACATTGGAAACAAAATAATGTAAAATCTCTCAAAAATGTATTTATGATATCATTTCTTAGTAGTGCTTCCTACTCACAAAAAGTATTTCGAATTTAAAATGTTTTGACTGGATTCATTTTGGTGTGATTTACACTAATACACCAAGTTTAGAGCAATTTCAACTATACTATTCATTTTTTACTAGTTAAAATATAATAAATTGTCTATATTTTTTTTAATCTATTTATTCAAATGTTACTCTTTATTTTATCTATCTATACACAAATTTTTTTTAAAGAGCCTACCAAACCTATTCAAATGTCGCTAGTTTTGAAGAATTTTGTTAAAGTAACTATTTTAATAGATAGTCCATTGGAGTGACTAAAATAAGATAATAGTAGTTATAATTTTGATAATGGTTAATTCTTGCTTGTTTATTCAAGTCGAAATTATTTAGAATAATGTTATGAATGTAATCTTATATCATATGCAATTTATGACATAATTCACTTATACGAGAGTCATAACTTAAGAAAATGACTAATAACCAGACACCACTAAAGTATAACTAAAATGTTTTTGGATTATAATAAAAATATATCATAACTAACACCACAATATGTATAATCAAGTCATAATTAATATCACAATGTGTATAATTAAGTCATAACTATCAATATGACTATTCTTTCCCGAATTTTGCCTATTCATTAATATTTAAAGAATTGTTCAGCATGGTAAGTTGTCAAATTATATTTAGTAAGTTAGATTTGATATTCTAAAACTAAAAATCTCATCATTTTTTTCTTCTTTATTTATTTTATTAGGCCACGTTGATCTCATTAGAGTGTGTATGAAGGGGGTTGAAGAACGTTGTTGGAAAATTCGAAGATCTTCGAAGATCTTTGAAGAAAATTCAAATTCTCTAGAAATGGTGAGAGGCTTAGATTTTTCAATAGTCACAACTAAGAACACAAAAGCAAAGAGATGATGGAGATAAGAGATTGGGTGGAGAAGAAGGCAAAGTAGCTAGAGAGAGAATAATGGCAAGGCTCTCCTATGGATCTCCCACTTTCGCTCTCAAGGTAGATAATGGAGAAAGAAAATTAGTTCTTTCCCAATAGTTGTCTCTCCAAAATCCATCCCTTGTAAAGCTACGAGTGGGTGCTATTTATAGGCACCTCATGATGTAGGATGGAGCCTATGTGCAAGGCACATGGGGAATATTCTCTCTAACCACCTTGTCTGAGGAGGTGACCTCTTCGAGGATGAGAAAAATCCCGAAGAGAAGATCAACCTCTCGGCAGACCTTTCTTCTTAGCCATACCTAACCAATGATCCCCAATCATCCCAAGGGGTCAGCGGTAGTCCCAGAGGACGCCCTATCGCAGAAGGGTCAGGGATAGTCCAAGAGAACGCCTTGCCGCAAATATTGCCGAGTCTTAGAGACCCCCTAGATCGTGCCACCTCGACCCGGGTATAGGCTGGTGTTACCCAAAAAGCAACCTAAGAGAGGGGGTGAAGAGAGTGGAGAGTCGCGGGGGATGAGTTCGGCGGTGAAACCACCACCAACATCACCACTACTGCCACTAGTCTGGGCTGCAATGGGACAATGGCCTTGTTTGGTAGGGCTTATTTCCAGCTTATTTAAGTTTTTAGTTTAATTTAAGCTATTTTGATGTGTTTGGTTCAGCTTAACAATACAGCTTATAGCTTTTTGTAAGTCAAAAATCAACTTATTCTTTGAGTGGGGGAGGAGAAACTTGATTTATAAGTCAAAAATCAGCTTATGTTCATAACTATAAGCTATAAGCTGTTAGGTTATAAGTTATAATCACTTTTCCATAGCTCTACCAAATGGGGCCAATTAAGTATTGAAAGTTGAATAAAGCAAAAGAATGCCCAGTGATGAATTAAAAATGGCTGCCATTACTAAAATTTTGAGAGAGGGAGATAGTGGGGATGATTAGGCCTCGTTTGGGAACAAATTATTTTAGTAATTTTTTGACTTTTTACGAAAAGATGTGTAAAAAAATAAAGAGAGTGATGTGACAACTTATAGTGATTTTTTGACTTTTTTAACTAGGCTGAGGGTGACAAAGGAGAGAAGAAGCAAATAAAGGAGAAATGGAGGTCAAAGGGTGAGTTTATGGTGCATTCACACAAGTGATTAGAGACCAAAAACATTGGAAACAAAATAATGTAAAATCTCTCAAAAATGTATTTATGATATCATTTCTTAGTAGTGCTTCCTACTCACAAAAAGTATTTCGAATTTAAAATGTTTTGACTGGATTCATTTTGGTGTGATTTACACTAATACACCAAGTTTAGAGCAATTTCAACTATACTATTCATTTTTTACTAGTTAAAATATAATAAATTGTCTATATTTTTTTTAATCTATTTATTCAAATGTTACTCTTTATTTTATCTATCTATACACAAATTTTTTTTAAAGAGCCTACCAAACCTATTCAAATGTCGCTAGTTTTGAAGAATTTTGTTAAAGTAACTATTTTAATA